GACGAGGAGGAGGAGGAGGAGGAAGGGGAGGAAGAGGCCCTGCCGGGAGCCTCCTGCTGCCGGAGCCACCTCCGGGGACGTCATTACGGGCACTAATAGTCACCTGGCGCAGCGACATTTCCAGCTGCCGGCAGCGCTCCCGCGGCACCGGGGCCTTCCCAGGGGGGCTCTCCCGGGCCTCGCAACAACCCCCCCGGGGGGTCCCCGGGGGCCGTGCCGGCTTTGCAACAGCCCCGCAACACCCGGGGGGTCCCCGGGGGCCTCGCAACAGCCGGCAGCGCTTGCACCAGCTGGACCAGGGAGGCTCCGCAGCCCGGGCAGTTCCCAGCTCCTGCCGCTCGCTCCGCCGCTCCTGGGCTCCCACCCGGCTCCTGGGGGGAGTGTGGGAGGGCTCTGGTGCCCCCTGACCCCCCCTGTCCCCTCACAGCTTGCACCCTGCGGAGCGGCCCTGGGCCCATCCCAGCCTGGCACCATGAACGTCTTCGATCGGAGCATCAACTTCGACGCCCTCTTCAAGTTCTCCCACATGTGAGTGACACCCCCGGGCAGGGCAGGGGGGTCGGGGGGGCTGTGCCAACCCCTTCTGCCCCCCTTACACCCCCTCCCCTCGCCCACAGCTCGGCCTCCACTCAGGAGCACCTGAAGAGGGTCTATGGCAGCTTCGCCCTCTGCATGTTCGTGGCGGCCGCGGGCGCCTACGTCAACATGGTGACCCACCTGTTCCAGGTGAGGGGCCTTTGGGGGGCACCCCAGCTCTGCCACCACCCGGGTGGGGCGATGCCCAGCCCTCACGTGTCTCTTACCCCCCCCAGTTTGAGCTCCTGACTGGCCTGGGTGCGCTGGGACTGATGGTTTGGCTCACAGCCACCCCGCACAACCGCGAGACCGAGCAGAAGCGGCTGGGGATGCTGGTTGCCTTCGCCTTCCTCACAGGTGGGTGGGCACCGGGGACCCCCCCTCACATCCTGCGGGACCCCAACCCCCAAAATGCCTCCTGTGACACCCAGCTCTGTCCTTCCAGGCACCAACCTGGGACCCCTCCTGCAAATGTGCATCTCCATCAACCCCAGGTAGGAGTGTGTGTCCCCATCACCCCCTAGACCTTCTTCTCACCCCAAGCTGCCTCCCAGACCCCTTTGACCCCTGTCTCCTCCCCCCCAGCATCATCCCCACCGCCTTCCTGGGCACTGCCACCATCTTCGCCTGCTTCTCACTGAGCGCCCTGTACGCCCGGCGCCGCAGCTACCTCTACCTGGGAGGTGAGAGGGGCTTTGGGGGGGACTCTCAGGGAGTCCAGGGGCTCCCCTGGGTGGGCAGGGCCCAGGCCTCACTCCCTGCCCTCTCTCGCTGCAGGTTTCCTGCTCTCCGGGCTCTCCCTGCTCCTCCTCTCCTCCCTGGTTAACGCCTTCGTGAGATCCACCTGGGTCTTCACGGTGAGTCCACTGAGAATGGACAGACAGAGAGGTGACCCCAGCAGGGGACTGTCCCCACCTCATGCCCCCTTCTCCTCCCCACAGGCCAACC